TACGTAATACAGCACAGAAAGGTGTGTGTATGTTGGGGATAACAGAAAGAAAAAACGAAAACGTTGGTACGGGTAAGAGCAGAAGCAGAAGTCTGCAATGTCTTTGAGTGAATGAAGAGGTTTAAATTAAATTGTTTATGGGCGTTACAGATAGAACCGACCGTCATTGAACCGGAAAAAGTTAGACTGGGTTTCAACAGACAGCAAACACCCCGTAGGAAGTTAATTCGATAGCAAGACCATCTGATGAAATTCACTAAATCAGTATAGATGAAAATTGAGAAAGAAATCTGTGGCGAAATCTTGGAGAAAACTTCAAGCAACAGTGGTCTGGAAAGTGTTGTTTATGGTTATCACCGTCAGGTCAGTGTTAAATGTTCATCTGAAGTCAAGCTCGCCATATGAGGGCAGCTACGAAAGGTAAGTTCAGAAATGTGCTTTTGTGTAAAGTTAAGTACCCTGTGTTTCTCGCCCAGAAAGCGGTGCGCAAGATTAACGCTTACTCTCGATCAGTTGATGCGCAACGGTGTAATCTGTACTGCTCATAGCCCATGTTGATAGGGTATCTATTTTGACAGGAATATCGGCCAGTCAGGTATGCCTACGTAATAGTGAGCATACTGATGTGTTAAAAACTGGTATATAAAGTGTCATGATTCAAACAATTATTTTATTTTAGAGTGGTACCAAAATCTTCGATTTTAAAATTGGTGATGTCTGTCAATAGTCCGTGCGGTAATCCACCGAACCATGTGGTTTACTTAGAGCATGTTAAGGCGCGAATCACCATCATGTCAGAAATGCGCGGCAATTTGCGGATATTTTTGACTTCTCCTGCAGGTAGGGATGCCACTGTCTTTGTGGTTTTCATTCTATAAATTTTTTTTGCTGAAGGAACTGCCTCGACTTTGTTACCTCTACGAGATCACGACAAAATGAGGTCCGGTTTTCGAGACTGGGCGTTCATGACCACCCATAACTGGGGCGAGAAGGTGGCTGGAAAATGGACGCTGGAAGTGGAGAACAAATACTGGTCTGGTAAATAGTTTATGTTCATGTAGACATGTTTCAGATAGTGTTTGATTTTTGACGATGTTCACTCGTTGTAGACGCAACGCTGTTGAAGTGGCAACTAATTTTCTACGGCACATCGTCAGCGGTCGACCCTTCCGGTGGAGGGATGGCGACGGACGATCACTCGGCATTCCCTGTCAGCGACGACACCCATAGCGCCGCAGTGTCGTTTGACGTCTCTTTGTTTCGCACTGGTTTGTTTAGACGCTTGTTGCTCTGCTTGTTCGTCTTCTTCGTCGGCTCGCTTGTGCTCAGTTGACCGATCGACCTCCAGACAGACGAGGTCAGATCCCAGCATGTCGTCCGTTGCGTCGGGTGACTGTATTCAGTTGCTAGTCGTCGAATAGAGCATGCAGTTTCGTTCTTCATATCAATGTTACACGCTGCGATCAAATTCTTGTTCGTTGCGTTTCCGAATCTTTTGGTTGTGAACTGTTTTTATGTAGTGGTCGCGGGCAAGCGAGAAAGATTGACAGCCCGGCGAAGTGCAGCTCTGCGTTATTACCTACTTTTATAAAGCCACTTTTTTCTCGCGTATTTATTTTCACGTATTTTTCCTACCTCGTTTTCTGTCAGTTGTGATATTTTATTGCATACAGTTTATGTACTATGTTCTCATTATCACGTGTATTTATTGCCGTGCGTAATGGTCATTTTAAGTAAGTCTGCCTCGCCTCTGAATGAATACGCAACGACCAGAGCCGGCCTTGCCTCTGCCGATGGGAAAAAAATTTACGTTCCTGGATGGATGGTTGTGCGCTCCCCGTAGTGCAGGGATCCCCTTGGCCTGGCGATTTTAGTAGTCTGACCGCTCGTTGGTCATCGCACGTACGTCCAATTTAACAACGTCTCATGCAGTTATTTGTTTTTGATTCGACAACGATGGACACTGCTGTTTATCGACGACGCCCGTGCCTGCTCTTACGTTGTTTTGTGACCAAATGGTTTACAGCTTCGTTGTAACCTTCTAATGTGACCTTCTTTGTGACCTGTAACAAAGTCGTTCTTTTTCACCGTGTTATTGAATCATACAGATATTGCAAAACGTATGATCTGCATTGTTAGCTACTATGATATGTCTGCAATTTGAGGTTCGATTAAATTTTGCCTCGTTATCAACTGTGCTCGGTCCAGTCAGTCAATCACTTTCGCATATCGGTTAAACCTAGTTTTGCTTTTACAACGATCGTTACAAAAGGCAAAGGTAAAAATATCAGTCGATTGCATTGCGATGCTTGCTCATCCGTGCTTGCTCCTTGCTGTTTTTGAACAGTCTGGTGGTTCTTTTGATGATCGATATTTTTAGGACTGTTGTCATTTGCGCTGACGGTTTTTGCAATAATGCTCGTTTGTTCGTGTGTGCAGTACGTTGCTTGGAAAGCTCGCCAAGCGGAAGAGTATAAATACGCCTTTTCTCCTGTATTTGATGACCCAAGTAACCTGCTTGTTTCAAAATGCGTACCGCAACAGCATTCGCCGTCAACACTGTCTTATTGAATGCTCATTCGTTTTGTGTACTTAAATTATGTAAATTTCTGAGAGTCAGTGAATGATATTTAGAACCGATTCAGTAGAGGGTTTCGTTGCATGGTCAGAAAGTATTTTATGTCGTTATGAATGTCTTGTTTAGCTTTTGGACGTTGAGTCAGCTCTCCAAGCTGACATTAGTTGTCTCTCTGTTCGAAAGTACCTTTTGTGCTTGCACAAGATCACCAAAAAATTCTCTTTCAGCATAGATGCATAGAAAAAATTCTCTGCCAGTTAAGCAGTAAACAAGTAAATGACAAAAGTACGAGCAGAAAATTTTAAAAAGCCAACTTTTATGTTGTAATTAAATGTACGGCGATGGAAAACTTATTTGAAGTATATACATGCAAGGAAAGCGAAACAATTATTTATCCAACCGAGTTGCGGAAGGCTGTAAGAACAGCGATGATTAACCAAGACAGATGTATCTAAGGTCTCGGGTTGATGTGAGTGGTTATGACTTCTTTTTTTTGAGGTTTGTCACTGGCCTGTGCGAGCAACTTTGAGGCTGAGAATGTATTTAACCGCATTTTGTTTCACCGTACGATTATATGTTTTAGGGCATGTCCTTTGTTATCATGGAAATTCACTGTGGAAGATGTGCACTTCCTCTTTACAAGATAATTCAAGTTCTCAACTGAACAAATTTTATCAGAAATAACAAGTCTGCGCTGTTGAAACCATATGTTAAGTTGTGACTGTTCACAGTTCATTAGACATCATTAATCAATAGATTTTTGGCGTGTAGGCTGGAAATTTATTTTCTTTTGATCGAACTATGAAAGTTTAGATTTCTTTAGTTTAGGTAAAATAAAGAAGCCTAAAATTCACAGTTTTACATTCTCAAGTATTCTGAAATTAGCATGATAGTCTGGTGTTTATAAGCAGCAAATTTAGTTGAGAAATGCTCATTTATGTAGTTTTTGGCGTATCGACAGAGTATTACTGGAGTGAGGATATGCAAGTGTTGCAAGAGTCCTCTGATAGATTGAAAGGTAATAATTGAGAGACAACCCCTCTTCTTGTGACAAAATCTGATGAAGTGCTCCACTTCTT